GGACCACACACACACACGGGGACCACACACACACGGGGATAACACACACACACACAGGGGGAACACACACTCACATGTGACCACACACACACGTGACCCCACACACACACAGGGGGCCCACACACACGGGGATAACACACACACACACAGGTACCACACACACACACACGTGACCCCACACACACACAGGGACCACACACATACACACACGCTCTGCCCCACCCCCAGCAGAACACTCTCGGGGAAAGGTCTAGGAGTGGCAGCACCCGGAGGTCTGCATCTCCTTGTTGACGTAGTCCTGGAGCTTAAACTTGGGCTCGTTGGGGTCTTTCATGGACCTGTGCTTCAGCTCCCTGAGTTGAAAGACAGAGGATGAACAGTTGTAGGGAATTACAGGAGGAACAGGCACGTTTGGTTAATGAGGCCCCCGCAGGCCACTTTGAGCACTCTCAGCTGTTTTAGACCAAGAAAGTAGCTGAAACTCCAACGTCTGTCAGGACTCCAGGTGCGGCCCCAGCGCTGTGCGGTGACGCGACATGTCAACGGCCCTCCGCTTACATCAACGCTCATTTTTCATCCGCATGCATCTCACACAGCTCTTCACCATGAAAGCAGAGCTGACCGCCTTTGAAGTATAGCTTCACAGTGGCATGTCCCATATCACTCGACAGTGGTGAGCTTCCGGTCGGCCTTTCTATGTATGAACAAGTGCGTTTTAAGCATGCTGCCACTACAGACCCTCTCTGTCACGTTCTTACGGACTTGCTGGGCTCGACCATACTCACTTGGCCACGGCGGTGAAAGCCAGCTCCACGTTGAGCCCCGACTTGGCGCTGGTCTCCATGAAGGGCACGCCGAAATCCTGCAGCAGAAACCACGTTCCATCTTATTCAAGAAGAGAGATTCTCCTATCTTTACAAAACCTCACAAATGCATCAGATCATTGCCCCAGCGGACCTGAAAGAAAACCTCACTGATGCCCCATAGACTTATCGATCCTATAAAAGACCCAGTGGATGAAATCGTAGAGCAGCACAGACAGACTAAGGCCAAGTGTATCTGTGTCTCTGCATTTGTTGTGGAGACAGGTGGATGGTCCTTATTTGTATGTTTCCAAGTGTATTCCTGTTTGTTTAATTACAGCACAAGTAATAAATAGTCTTACATCTTGTGTTTATGGATTTGACCCTGACTGAGTCTTCACCTGCCCCCCAGCCCCCCCCCCCAAGGTACCACAGCACAATCTCAGCTGTCTCTCAGTGAAGTTCTCCTGTTATACCTCAAGGGACATGGATGTGAATAACATGCAGATTTTTCTACTAGCGACAAACTTCCTGCGTGAATTATGTCCTTGGGTTTCCCGCCGAGGATCGATAATCAGTTAAATACATTTCCGAAGACGGGAACCAAACCTCCTCCTGTCAAATTCGCTGCCTAAATCCATGTTGTAATACAGATATAACTGAATATTCTTGCTTAAGCTTGTTTGTTTCATATTTAACATTGCATTTACAGAAAGTACAATAAAAACAAAACACCATGCACGCTTCCCACAGAAGGCTGCATTCTTTTGACTGTGGTGCTGAACGGGACGTGAACCGAGCGTAAAATGTCATATGTGTTCAATTTCCAGATTAAAGTCAGATTACCAATGTGGAGGGTGTTACCCTGGACAGCGGGGACCAGCCCAGTGGGCCCCTGAGGGTCCCCAGAATGCCACTGTCCCCTGATCTTGTGCGTCCACAGAGTGCGGCTACCTGCCTGAGTAGGACGACTAACTGACTGTGCAAGCAGCGTTAGGAGCAGCGTCAGATAATTCAGGCTCCAAGAGGGAAGACCGTTACCACTTTCTGTGCTTGTGCAATAAATCTAATCAAATGGCTCATTCTTTTACAATGCTTTTTCTTTGCCACTAAAGCAATTTTTTTTTGGTGACAATATTAATTGATTTGGCCCATAGAAAACTGAGGCAAGCAGAATAGGAATGGGGTGGGGGGGGGCAGGGGCGTCGGTGTTCTGGCGTGACCCCCGACCGTGGCGGGAAGCGGAGTTCTCACCTTGGCCAGTTTCTCTCCTTCCTCCCGCTTCACCACCCTTTCATGCGTGGCGTCCGCCTGTCACACGGGAAGCAGGAACAGTGACATGATGGCTGATCACTGTCTCTCCACTAAACCGCGCAAGTCATGTATTACCATCTAAAAAACTCTTCAAACAAGCACCCTTGCATTGTGACCACACCCACACACGCCTCCCCGTCATCCCACCGTTCACCCACAGATGTACCCTCTTCTGTGGAATTTGCAGAGGCGTATATAGGGAAGTCAGCTGAAAGCTGATTGGCCCCCGGGAGTGTCCTTTCTCCGTCACTCACAGATTCAAAACACACCACTGGCTAATAATAAGGTTTGCCCATGTTATGCCCCTGTGGAGAAGGTCTCACCTTGTTTCCCAGAAGCATCAGCACCACGTCCTGCTGGGTGTACTCATGGATCTCTGTCAGCCAGGCCTGGGGAAGGAGAGGCAGGCATGGTAAGTGTGAGGGTGCGAGCCCTGCGCAGCAGGTAGACTGCATCGATGGGAAAGTAATAAGAGGAAAGCAAGCTGAAGCCTGGGAAAGAGAAGGAGACAGCAGGATGAATGTAACACTCAGTAAGTGGCAACAAGCGAGTACGTGCCCCGTAAAAATGTGGGGAGCGCATGGAGGCTGACCATCACCTGGCAGTGCTGAGGCCTGCTGGCAGAGTCCCATCTGGATGGGAGATCAGCACAAAGCCGTTAATCTGTCCTTCTCCAAGTAGAGCAGAGGGACACACATGCTGCCCAAATATTATTCCTGATTTTCGGCACTTACGGTAAAACACCGACTGAAAAACAGTAAGTCAGAAAGGCCTGTCAGCTGAATGGTATCTGTGAGCGCAGCCTGCTTGAGCTGAATGGTATCTGTGATCGCATCCATCATTGTATAAACTGCTGTCAATCAAACCTGGGCGGTCCTGCTAGTCCCTCCCACCGTCACTACACTGTCAGCTTGTGACCAGGCCTGTTTGTGCCTGGTTTCTCATTTCAGCGTCTGTTTACTAACTTCACAGCGGGCGTCACACCACTACACATGCTTCCTCTGCATCCTTCACTGCCTCTTTGCTTCCAGGAAAAATTGCCACCCCCCACCCCCCAATCCTACTGCTTGCGCTCTTGAAAATAAATTTCAGCTCCAGCTAAGACATGCTAATCTGCGAGACAATGGAGTGCCGCATTACTCATATAGGCCCTATTATCCGTGACGACGGGGGCTTGATAGACGCGTGTTTCACGTGCCGGGCGAGTGTTTAACGCAGCCTAATGGTCCTCCCACTCCATTGTAGCGTCCTGATTACAAAGCCCCCTGTAGGATGTAACTTGCATTGTGAGCCTCAAAGGGCCTTTGTCTTCGTAGCCCTTTGTCTTCGTAGCCCTTTGTCTTCGTAGCCGGACCAGTGACCTGTATTTTCATACGCATGGCTATTTCAGGCTGAGCTCCATGGTGACACACGTCACATGGTTCCGCTGCTTTCACTATCTCAGATTTTAAAACCATGTATGTATGTATGTATGTATGCATGCGCTTAGCATTTTGTGTGTGACTCATTGACAGCCTGTATTTCTATGTATTTTTTATTTAGGTCTGGGTATATATTAGATCAGACCTAACATTACTGTCACTGCATAAAGTATGAGTATTCAGAGAATGAAATGCAGTTTGGCATCTAACCCAAAAGTGCAAAATTGTACGAAAGTGCTATAAACAAGTGGAGTATACATGATGTGGTACAAATGAGTATAAGCAGCACATATGATATATACACACACCCCCCACATGAAATGATTATACTTTATTGACCCCATGGGAAACATAGTGGACGTGTAGGCAAGTCGGGCTATGAAGGGCACCCATAGCGGCACCCTGGGAACTGGGCATCGAGGGCCTTGCTGAAAGAGCCACAGATGTGCTGAGGCTGGGCTTGAACCAGCAACCTTCCAATCACAGGTATAGAGACCTAACCCCCATTGACCCACACACTCAGACGTGGACTATGGACAGTTTGGGCAAACTGGGGAACCCGGAGGAAACCCCATGAGGACATGGGGAGAACATGCAAATTCCACACATGTAGAGTCAGGGCGGAGACCCTGGTCTCCAGAGGTGTGAGGCAAAAGTGCTAAACATTTCAATAATATACAGACTCTCCCTGGGTTACGACGATCCGTGTTTATGCCATTTGGACTTTACGATGGGTATTCCAGTTGCATTCTGTTTTTCACTTTCTGTATATTGCTCAAGAAATTACATGCGATATTGAACACTTTATTATAAAATAGGATTTGTGTTAATGATTTTGCCGAACTGCAGGCTAATCTAAGTGCTCTAAGGATGTGTAAGGTAGGCTAGAATTGGCTATGATGTTTGTTAGGTTATATGTACAGTATTAAAGTGCACTTTTGCCTTACGATATTTTCGCCTTGCGATAGGTTTATCGGAAGTAACCCCATCGTAACACGGGGAGCGTCTGTATATTTCCCTTTATATATGCCAGTGAGTGTGTTCACTTTCCAGAGAGGCTGGAAATGAACATGCCTCATTTAATCTGGGGGGACGTTACTTCGGGCGTCTTTTCTGTCACTCCTCCTCTCCGCTCTTTGATATACATTCGATAGTCCAGGACAAAGAGCCAAGTGTTCACGCTTAACAGCTGACCACCACTAGTTGCATCAGTTGCCTGATTAGCTTTGCTGTGTGATTAACCCTAAGGAGGTAATTCCATACTGGCGTTAATGAGGCAGAAGCCAGCACCGCAGTCAGCGTGTAGAAGGCTAATCGCTCGGCTGCCGGCCGCGACGCTCTGTGGCCCCAGGTCGCAGACGCGGAATTAAGAAACGCACCGTTAACAGGAAAGTGGAGACTCGCCTTCTGTATCACACAGCCCCAAGCAGCCGTCGGCCCCCTTATTTGTGCTGACTGTCTGCTAACAGGGCCACGGGCCCTTCTCAAAAATAGATTCCCTTTTCAAACAGTCATCCACTTAACATAATTTAAAACATTTTCAAAATGTTTTCAAAAGTTGCGACTAATGATGTCTCTGTACATAAAGTGTTTGTCAGAGTTTTGTAGATGCAAAACACTACAAGTTGGCTGAATACATGAGTGTGTGTCATATAAACATGCATGTATATAGGAAATACATGCCTGTTTGCCATTGCAAACTGTCTGACCAATCACATTCCAAGATTAAGCTATTAAGCCAATCACGTGCTGCAGAGTCAGTTCTTGGCTCTCTGGGAAGTGAGCTTTTGGACACAGAATACCAGCAGCCAGAGAAGGGTGCAAGGTCTCTCCACACTAAAGTCCACAGTCATTAGGACCTGCAGTTTTAATACAGGTGTCAACCTGAGATCACCAAGCCTCACACCAGTGAAAGGCAGTCTGCACAAAAGCCAGCTGACATCCCATAAGGATGATAAACCTCTTTCCTTTTTAGCTCTGAGCTGTTTTTCATTGACACAGATGGTGGCTTCATCTCACCTTTGAGCTGTAAGTCTTTCATAGGCATGTTTTCCTTTGAGCTCAGCTAAATATATCGAGGCAATGAATACTGGGAGCCACCATGCGCGTCTATATGCTATGAGTCAAAACTTGTGTGACCGGCATTCTGTTTGGCTGGTAGAAGTAATTGGCACGACAGAAAAGAATGTCGAAAGGCCAAAGTAGTTTTTTTTTTTTCCATTTCTTGGCGTGTTTCAGAAGTTTAAGAATCCCAGCCCCCGCAAATGACACGTCCCACGGGACAGACGTCACTTTGGGTGGATTTCTGAAGGCTGTGACTCATATGACTGAGGACATATGTGTTTTTTTTATTCCAATGTGATACATAGAAGAAAGCTCTGTCATTAAATACGAGATGAAAACATTTCCATATGTAAGATAAAAAGGAAAAAAAAACTATATTGACAGCTGTAATAAATCACTACTTTTCATGGTGCTGATTTAAAAACATCTTCAGTACTGAATTAAGTTGAAATGTCCGAGTGATGGTCAGGTGAAGATATGTACGAGCTAACGTACACGCAGGGCTAAGTATACCACAGTATCCGACTGATGAGCTCTGTGACAGGTTCCTCTGGTGGAGAGCAGGCAAATGGAGAAATTTCACAGAGAAGATAAGCAGGAGGCTGCTGGATACAATGTTACTTGGCAGCTCTGTGTGGCGGCCAAAGGCGGGGACAGGCGTGTGCAGGGCGGGGACAGGCGTGTGCAGGGCG